AGGGAAATGGAAAGTACCAGAGGGGAAAGAGAGTTCTGGAGGGATTCCATAATGGTAAAACCGGAGAAAATAAATACCGGAGGTGAAAATATGAGAGCTATAAGGTAGGAGAAGTGATACTAGAGAGAGAGAAAACATGAAAATAAGGTTTTCCTGTGATTAGGGAGCCACTGTGCTAGAAAACTTGTGAGTGAGTGAAGAGGCACCTGTGAATGGGGTGTGTCTGTCTGTCCCGGGTGAGAGCGGGTCGATGTGTTTGTGGACAAGAGGTTTGAACCCTCCCATCAGGTCTCATTTTTTTCTCCCCGGTGACACAGGCAGCGTCAATCCCAGACTATAGAGGCCCTAATGGCATCTGGACGTTGCTGCAGAAGGGCAGGAGCATCAGGTGAGGAGAAGCTGAGCTGTGCAGCAGAAAGCTGGTACTGAAAGAGAGATTAATGTCAATTTCAACTTTTTTTTTCCTTGCTTCTTTGTCAGGGCTACAGATCTGAGCGAGGCAGAGCCCACACTCACCCACATGAGCATTGCCTGCCTGCACAAGCACAACCTGGTAAGATGTTTTTTCCGCACCTCACTTGTGTTCCTCTAAGTACGATAAATAAAACCCAACAGCAGAAAAAAGTTTTCCTGAGATTGCCTGACTACTGCTCTTACTCGGGCGGCTACGCATCCACGTAGGGAAAAGCAGCTGTGCTCACCTACAGCTGAGCTCTGGCAGTTTCTCCCCTGGTGCCTTTTCTGTAGCACCTTGTGTTTGCCCCCTGCTGTGGCTGTTCTGGGGACCTGCCCGCAGGGTCAGCCAGACCCAGGAGAGCTCTGTTGAGCAGGAGGATTCTTTTCATTGAGCTTTCATAAAGGTCTGTTCTCCGCACTTTTCTTCTGTTTGTTGTGCTCCGATGTATGGAGCTGTTTGGTGGGTGTGAGACGCGTGTCACCTGCATTTGAGTTACGCTTCCGGAGTCTGCTGTGTGTGAACTCAGTGCTTTATTCTCTTCCAGGTGCAGCATGTGGTGTCTCAAAACTGTGATGGGCTGCACCTGCGGAGTGGGTTACCCCGAGCAGCAATATCCGAGCTTCATGGAAACATGTACATAGAGGTGAGCAGCCGGAACAGGACAAAGTGACTGTCTAGTGGCCTCACGAGAAGATAACGTGAACTATTTATCTCTCACTAACTCAAGAAGCATTAGTACAAGGGCTCATCTCTCCTTAGTTCATATCCTCAGGCCATTAGGTCTGGGCTGAAACAGTTAGCAAGCACCAAACCCAAGTGTTCTCTACAACCCGGTAGCTTTTCCTCTGCTCTTGCTAGAGGCTTTTGCTTCTGTCTGCTCTTCCTCAGACCTCCTCCACAATCCCTCCTATTGCGTAGCCAGCAGGCTCCCTGTAATTCCACATGCTAGCTGAGGTTTTCCAAGTTAGATCCCTGATGATCCCTTCTTCTGCTTTCAGTTTATTGTCCCCCAAAAGTGCTTTTCTTCTGAGAGAAGTGGCTGGCTCCTGGCGTTTCCTGGGCTCAATCCTGATGATGTAACGGGTTTTGTGCTTTTGTCCTGCACCAGGTCTGCACTTCCTGCACGCCCAACAGAGAGTACGTGCGAGTATTTGATGTGACGGAGCGCACAGCCCTGCACAGGCACCACACTGGCAGGATGTGCCACAAGTGTGGGGCACAGTTGAGAGATACAATCGTCCACTTTGGGGAGAAGGGGACGTTGACACAGCCCCTGAACTGGGAAGCAGCAACAGAGGCTGCGAGCAAAGCAGATGTGATTCTTTGTCTGGGTTCCAGCTTAAAGGTAACTTTAGAGACTCGGTGAAGATTGTTAGCAGCATTCCCTCTGGGTGATACACCTTGGTGCTGAGCAGTCTCCTCCCAAACAGACAACTGTAAACTCTGGTGTCAGGATTCGCCCACCATCTGTGATAGTCTCTCTTCCTCCCTCTTTCCCCTCCTGGTAATACATTCCTTTTCCTCTCGCCGATACGGTTCACAGTTATGCGGGCCTTTGGCTGTGCTGATCATCTGTGTTTTGTGGCAGGTTTTGAAAATTGCAAAAAATCCCTCCCCTTTGGGGTCGGAGCAAACCCCCCCCCCGCCGTCCCAAGCTGTACATCGTGAACCTGCAGGTGAGAGTCCAGCGCGCTGGGGGGTTTGGGCAGGACGGGTGCGGGTCTGCGG